AAAAAAAAAAAAAAAAAAAAAAAAAGAAGGAAAGAAAAAGTGGCTCTAGTGATGTCAAAATCAATAACGCAAAAATGAAGGTAAAGAGTTAGGCAGCTGGGTGTGGTGGCTCACTCCTGTAATCCCAGAACTTTGGGAGGCTGAGGCGAGAGAATCACTTGAGCCTAGGAGTTCAAGACCAGCCGTGGCAACATAGCAAGACTTCATCTCTACAAACAACCAAAAAATTAGCCAAGTGTGGTGGCACATGCCTGTAAAGGATTACCTGAGCCTGGAAGGTTGAGGCTGCAGTAAGCCCTGATATCTAGCCTAAGTGCCATCATGACTCAAAATAAATAAATAAATAAAAGAGTTTACATATATAGTTTCAGGAAATATAAGTGGAAAATAATTAATTTAATTACATATAATTAAACTAAATTAATTAATTAAATACTTTAAGTTAACATTTGTCTATATTATTCACATTTGTAACCATATATTTAAATTGATCAAAAGAGATTTGGGGGATTATTATACCAAGAATATGGGGCACTGCCTATCATTTGAGGTTTTCTTATAGTCGCATTTGTACAGTAAATTACTTATGTTTCTTTTACTTATTTGTTTCTTTTTTTTTATTTGTTTCTTTTACTTGACCCCATCCACTATTATTTTTCCTTGCTCTATGAGGTAGAATTTTGCCTAACAACACACTGTTTCTCCAGCTCCTAGAACAGTCTCTGACACACATGAGCCGCTAAGAAATATTTATTGAAGGAATAAATTCAGGTAAAAAACATGCTTTCAATTATTTTCAAAAATAGTTATTTGACATGAAAAAAGTGATAGCCAAGCAAAACATCCATTAGACAGATGCAGGATTTAAAGAAATTAAACTTTTTCAAAAAAGAATTTAAGTGACCATGGCAGCTGTATTTATATATATATATATATATATATATATATATATATATATATATATATATAAACATATGTGTATGTATATATTTATATATATTACTGTTATATATTACTGTTAAATCATTCTAGAAGTTGCTTTTAATATTCCCAGTACCACCATCATTGGATAAAGTGAAATAAGCTAGTGAAAAATTTTGTAAGCAATTTTTAACCTGTGTGCACAGTTGGTGTCAGCTCTATTATCATTTTAATACACAACTTACCAACATTTATGGGCTGAACTGACATTAGAGGCGACTGAAAAATGACTCCACCAGATGCAATTTTCAAATACATAAGAAGAGTGTTGCTGAGTTTGGCTGTTGGCACAGGCACAAGACATTCACACCATTCATGAGCACCGCAGTTGCACTGAACAACTTGAAAACTGCCTTTCTGGGGAACCAACGGTGAGTCTTCTAACATTTCAGGCCTATGTTAAAAAATAAGAGCTAAGTATTAGCATAGATGTGAAAGCACTGGATAGGCTTTTAAGGCAGGATACTAAACACAACTTGAGATAAACTATTGTGGATACACAGCATGAAGGGTATCTGGAAAAAAGATACCTATATTAGAAAAACAAAGAAAAAGATTACATCAGGTTAATCATCAGAAGTAACAGAAGAGACAGAGGAGCAAAAGTGAAGTTCTAAAAGGAAGACAAAACTGCAATCCTAAAATCCTACACTTCACAAAAATATCTTTCAAAAATAATGGACACCAGACCCGTGCTATAAGAAATGCTAAAAGAAGTCCTTCAGGCAACAAGAAAATGACAGCAGATAAAAATCTGGTTTCAAACAAAGAAATAAAATTGAACTGAAAGGATAGCTATTTATTGACTATTTAAAGCAAAAATAATAGCTTTGTAGTGGGGGATTTATAGCATAGGTAGAAGCAAAATATATGACAATTAGTACCAAGTTTAGGAGAAGAGAAATTTGTAATGTTCTTACACGATAATGAAGTGGCATGCTATCACTTAGAAGTATAATATCACTCAGACTATAATAAGTTAAAGACATATATTACAAATCCTAAAACAACCACTAAAATAATAAAATAAGAATATATAGTTAATAAGCAGCAAAGGAGATTAAATGGAATTATAAAAAATACTCAGTCCAAAAGAAAAGATAAAAACAGGAAAAGGGAAGCAAAGAACAAATGGACAAGAAAAGAAATGAAAAGATAGATTTAAATCTAAGCATATCAATAATCACATTGAGCGCAAATAGCCCAACCATCCCATTTAAAAGGCAGAGATTAAAAAAATAGATTAAAAAGCAAGACCTAATTAAAAACTGCCTACAAGAAATAAATGTTTACTATAAAACACAAGTAAAAGGAAATGGGTGGAAAAAGATATACCATTATAAGATTAGTCAAATGAAAGTTGGAATGGCTATGTTAATATCAGATAAAGTAAATTTCAAAGCAATGAATGTTACCAGAAATAAAGAAGGTCATTTCCTAATAAAAGGGGGTAAATTCTCCAAGAGGATCTAACTATCCAAAATATGTATGCACCTAATAACAGAGTTTTAAAATACATGGAGCAAAAGATTATTAGAACCTTAAGGAGAAATAGACTAATCCATAATTATTGATGTTTATTTAAGTATACTTTCTTCCAATAATTGAAACAGCAAGTAGATAAAAATTAATAAAAATGAAGACTTGAACACTATCAACCAACTTGACATAATAGTCATTTTGAGAACACTCCACTCAACAATAGCAGAATATACATTATTTTCAAGAGCACATGTAACATTTACCAAGGCAGACCACATTCTGTATATTCGATAACTGATAACAGAACATTAAAATATCATTTTCAAGTCTCAATAAATTTAAAAGAATTCAATTAACACAAAAACATGAGGGGGAACTCCTCCCAAAAAGGCAGTTATTTTTTTAAATTGTGTATTTATTCTTACATGTGTAAACTTCAGTCACCTTCAAAGTACTCTCCGTTTGATGCATTGCACCTATCATGACACTTTTTCTACTGCTGAAGAGTTTTTGAACTCATCCATTTTTACGCCTTTTAGTGCTTCTGCCATTTTTCATTTCACCTCTTCACATCAGTAAAACTTCCCTTTGAGGACTTTTTTCATCAGAGGAAACAAAAGTCGCTTGGGGTGAGATCAGGTGAATAGGGAGGGTGGAACACCAGGGTCATGACGTTTTTGGTCAAAAATTGATGACCATTCAGTGCAATGTGGACAGGTGCGCTTGTAAATCACTCATCATGAAATTGGTAAATGTGTTGAAAGAATCTCCAAAAAACGCATTGAAGCCAAACACAGCCTCTCACAACACTCCTTGGTACACTGATGCCAATGGGTTCCTAGACACTTACTTAGCAAGGGAAGCCTGTGCTATGAGGCGCCTGCCCTCCAAAAAGTAATTCAGGTTTTCTCTCTTTTTTTAGTTCCCCCTCATAGATTTAACAGCAGAAACCAATAACAGAAAGATATTTGGAAAGATCCTAAATAGTTGGAAACAACATACTTCTAAGTAACCCTCGGGCCAAAAAAAGAAATTAAAAAAGACAGATATTAGAAGGATGTTTAAGTAAATGAAAATGAAAACATATAAAAAGTTATAGGATGTTACTTAAAGCAATAATTCCAGGGACATCTATATAACACTAAATATAGGTACTAAATGTACAAGAAAGAAGAAAGGTCTCAAGTCAATTACCTCAGCTTCCATCTTAACAAACTGGATGGGGATGGGAGGACTGAACTGAACCAAAGGAAATCAAGACGATAAAATATCAGGTGTCAGAATATAATGAAACAGAAAAATAATAGACAAAGATCAAAAAGTCAAAAGCTAGTTAAGAAGGTTAATTAAAATGATGAATCATTAGCCAGACTGATCAGGAAAATGATGAAACCATTAGCCAGACTGATCAGACTATCAGGACTGATAGAAGTCACAAATTAACAATCTAAAAAGTGTGAGAGGTGGCATTACTACACATTCTACAGATATGCATGAAAAGAATAATAAGGAACTATTGTGAACGCTTTTCTGCTACCAAATGTATACTTGATCAATGATAATAGAAATTAAAAATGTCATTTCCAGCCGGGCTCGGTGGCTCAACCTGTAATCCCGCGCCTTTGGGAGGCTGAGGTGAGTGGATTGCCTGAGCCCGCGGGTTCGAGACCCGCCTGGGCAGCGAGACCTCATCTCTACAATAAATCAAAAAAAATCAGCTGGGCATGGTAGCGCATGCCTGTAATTCCGGCTGCTTTGAAGGCTGAGGCGGAAGGATCGCTGGAGCCCAGCAGGTTGAGGCTACGGTGGCTGGGAGCGGCCACTGCACTCCAGTCTGGGCAACAGAGTAAGACTCCAACTCAAAAAAAAAAAAAAAAAAAAAAATCATTTCCAATAACATCGAAAATAGAAATATTTAGGGATATACTGGAAAAAAGATGTTTAGGTATTGTACACAAAAACTACAAAACATTTTTGACAAAAATTATTAAGAAGCCCTAACTAAAATGAGAGCTATACTGTGCCCATGGGTCACAAGACTCAGTACTGTTAATATGTCAACACTTCTTAAATTTATCTACACCGGCCAGGTGCAGAGGCACAAGCCTGTAATCCCTCCACTTTGGGAGGCCGAGGCGAGAGGATTGCCTGAGCCTGAGGGTTCGAGACCAGCCTGAACAACATGGTGAGACCTTGTCCCTACAATAACATTTAAACATTAGCTGAGCATTGTAGTGCGCGCCTGTAGTTCCAGCCACTTGGGAGGCTGAGGTGGAGGGATCGCTGGAGCCCAGCAGGTCAATGCTGGGGTGGCCGTGAGTGTGCCACTGCCCTCCAGCCTGGGCAATGGAGTGAGGTTCCGATTTTAAAAAAATTATCTATGTCACTCAAAAGTCCAGTAGGCAACTTTATACAAATTTGACAGGATGAATCTAAAAATTCATATAGAAATGCAAAGGATTTAGAGTTGCCAAAACAACCTTAAAAATTAAGAACATATTTTGAAGATAATAATACCTAACTTCGAGATTTATTATAACACTACAATGTTCAGGCCAATAAGGTATTAGTGTAAAAATAGAAAAATAGATTAATGGAACAGAACGGAGTCCAGAAATTGACTAACACCTATATGGACAACCTAATTTTCTACAGAGGTACAAAATAAATTTTGTGGAGAAAGGATAATATTTCTGATAAATTGTGCTGAAACAATGGTATATCTATATACGAAAACAGAAAAGAACTTCAATCTATACCTCACATCAGATACAAAAATTAATTTCAAATCGATCATAAAACTAAATGTAAAGCCTAAATCTATTAACTTCTGAAAGAAAACATGGGGGAAAAATTGTGACCTTGGACTATTAAAAATTTCATAAATACAAAACTAAAAGTATGATTCATAAAAAAACAAACTGATAAGTTCGACTTTATCAAAATTGTCATTTTCTGTTTTGTGAAAGTCCTTATGAAAGATAACAAAAAGACAAGTCATGCACTGAGAGAACATATTTGGCAATCATACAAAAGACAAGCCATATACTGAGAGAATATATTTGGCAATCGTCTCTCTGATGAAGGACTTGTATTTGTAAGATACAAGCAGAGGCCCCAAAAAACCCGGAATTCATTTATAAAAATTGGTGTATTTATTCTTACATGTTTACACTTCAGTCACCTTCAAAGGACTCTCCGTTTGATGTAATACACCTATAAAGATGCTTTTTCCACTGCTCAGAACAGTTTTTGAATTTGTCAATGTTTATGCCTTTTAGTGCTTCTGCTATTTTTTGTTTTACTTCTTTCACACTGGTGAAACCTTTCCCTTTAAGGACTTTTTTCATCAGGGGAAACAAACAAACAAAAAGGTCACTCAGAGCAAGATCAGGTGAATAAGGAGAAGGCAACACGGGGGCCATGCCATTTCGGATCAAAAACTGCTGACAGGTGCTCTTGTAAGTCACCCATCAAGAAATGAGCAAATGCTTGGAACACCTACAAAAAAAAATTCACTGATGCCAAACTCAGCCTCTCCCAACAATGCTAGCTGATATGCTGATGCTGGTGGGTTTCTAGAACACTTACTTAGTGGGGGAAGCCTATAACACAAAGGCTCGACCCTCCAAAAAATAATTCCATTTTGGGGGATTCCCCCTCATAACTCAATAATAATTTTTAAAGCCCGGTTAAGAAGTAAGCAAAGATTTCAACAGTCACTCCACCAAAGAGAGTACGGGAATGCCAAATAAAAACATGAAATGACACTCAACAGCATCAGTCACTCAATACAAACTAAAACCACAATAAGGTATCACTATTCACATATTACAAGGGTCAAAATTTTAAAAACTAAGCATAATACATTAATGGTGGGAGCATAACATGATACAACTTTGGAAACGGTTT